CTACTTTGTACTGTTTTACACAATATATCGGTGGACAACAGCTAGTTTGTGCTTATACAGCGTCTGATACATGCACACAAATCGGCATTATTTATACGACAATCTTACAAGGTTATTTACCGCCTGTTCTTTTGACCATTCTCGGATTAATGACTATAATTAATATTCGGTTAATTCGGCGACGAGTTGTTAATGTCGGAGTCGTAAGCAGTAGTATCCAAACTACCTCAAGAATTCAACAAATCGAGCGTCAGTTCACTTCGATGTTACTCGTACAAATCCTGGTTTCGGTGATAGCATCGATACCATATGCCCTTCAAAACACGTACAGTGTCGTTACAGCTTACCTACAGAAATCTGTTGAAGGTAGAGCATGGGAAAACTTAGCTCAACAAATTTGTATCCTTTTGTATTATTTGAATTTCACAAGTTTCTATATTTTTCTGTGGTCATCGAATATTGCAAGACAACAGTGCTATGAGATTTTTAATAATTTTTATCATAAGCTGATATTCCGCAGAAATTGATAATAAAAAACTTCAAAATAGTGTACGTGTCTCCAAAATGCAACCCGACCAAAACAGTTTTGTTCCCAAGAAGTACCAAAATCTGCCTTAGAGTCTGTAAAGAAGTAGTCTTTCTTCTTAATTTATCACTTGTATAGTTGTCGTTTCACCCTTTTTCATCTCGTATGATGACATGACTTTTGTCCTTCTTATTCTTCTGACGTCATGTTACGTCCTGTCCTACTGACCGCATTAGCCGGGTCACTAGTAAACCTCATATCCTTTCCTATTCTTCTGACGCCCTTGTCTTGTTCTATTAACGTCATATTCTGTTCAGTTCTTCCGATGATCAGTTCCCCTTCCTGATCCTTTCTCGGATCTTTAGTGCTATGTATATAAATATTCGAGAATTCCACAAGTACCGTAGTCGAGAATTCCAGGATTCGCGGACTGCACGATTATATTATTCGAGAATTATACTATTAGAAAATTGTGAAAGTCTCGACACCAAATGTTTGTTCATTTTCAGAACACTTATTAGTAACTGTTGAGAGTCAAGAGCAATCAATTGGACTCAGAATTCTGTGTTCTTTCCGAATATATATGCAGATTTTGAGGAAATGTTTGAAAGAGTCAAAATGAAGTTTCTACAAAGAAAAGGAGTTTACGTGATCTCTAGCCTGTGCAGGTTGTTTTTCGAGGTAGCTTAAATCGGTAATCATATTGGATATGGGACCCCAGCCCGCGCGCAGGTCTCGAAAATCTGAATCGACAGTTCGATTCAGAATATTTTTCTCTTCATATACTGAATAGATCAGCTCCGACTTTTCTAATTTATTTTATAGAGCGCTCGTGTCTACGTATGGTTATTTTATTCGTTTCGTACACTAACCAATAGAAATCCAAGATGGCTGCCATGCCTAAAATTCTACGTAGAGCGCTTGCTTTACTCAAAATAATGGAAAAACGCGGAATTTCTTGCATATTTATTGAAAAGAAGTCCTAATTATAATTATTCCGCCAAATGCGAATTTGGCGCTAAATAGCTCTAATTACTTGTCTTCGCTCTTGTATAGTTGTTTAGTCAGAAGGTCTTCAAAACATTTTCTGAAATTCATGTTATAGCTATGTGAAATTCTTTAGTTCGACCTGATATTTTGATCTTATCGTCACCGCTGATTGTGCAAACTCATTATGAGTTACATATTTCATCTTTTTGCATCATGTTCTCGAAGAAAAAGCCGGGTAAAACATCATGCAAATTTTTTTCCATCAAGTATATCGGTGTTATTCACTCAGTTTTACAGACGATTATTTGGTTTTCTCGTCGTAAAATTCAGCGCGCTTCCTCTGTTGAGAAACATAAAAATATTTAATGATTTGCCTTTAATTATCAGACACACTGATTTGTGATTATAATAACGCAAGGGATTTTTAAATCCAGGTAGGAAACCGGTCTTCTTATTTTTAAGCAAAACCAATTATTTATTTTTTAAGAGATTATATATTTAGTTTGTTATCAAATTGTTCCTCGAGTATTATGCGTATTCTGCATTTTACAATTACTTATTTCAGAACCGGTAAAATGCTATTTCTTAAAGAAAAATCTTTTTTGAAAAAGTCTCACTTCCATCAAAAGGTAAGATTCTGAAACACATTCTGCACTTATTGGCTTTATTTTTTACAAAAAAGTCGGAACCCTCCAAAACCTTTTTACGCTACCCATTTTTCAAGCATCGATCCCACTGTTCCATATTAGACTAAATAGCTCTTGAAATCCGGCTGACTATACTGATAATTCTTACTTGTCAAAATTTAGATCTTAGAAAAAATAAACTACATAGTGTTAATTCGATTTATTTTGTAATTTATAAAGAATCGACTTTGAAAGTCGGAAATGATTTTAGAGCTTTTATGAAATCGTGAACGATTTTATAAGAACATTGAATATGCTTATTTTCTACTTTGTTAAAAGTCGAGTCGATTTTCAAGAATTTTGATTTACAAAATAGTCCAAAAAATCGTCTTGATTCTTTAAGAAATAGAAAATGTTTTTTGATTTTTGAAAAAAATGAAGAATCGACTGATTTTACAGAAAGTCAAACTTATTTCTCAAAAATAGTATTTGATTTTCTCTAAAATAAAGTTTCTCTAAAAATTCTCTAAAAAAAAATAAATTTTCTGGAAAACCGTCTTTATTTTGTGTGATTTTGAAAGGAACTCGCTGGCATTTTTTAGTCAAACGAGATGTAAAGAGAGTAAGTACTGTAATGGGCGCAGAAGTTTTGGGGCCGTTTCAGTCAATCTCTGATTGATGAGACATTCAAATTCCTCTGATTAATGTCTCAGTCGCATACTCTCAGGATTCAGTCCCGATTCGCCGACACTCACTCTCACACCGCCCCTCCCGCCTTTGAAATTCTTTGATGTATATTCTCTGAAGTGTCTGATTTGTCGACGAATCGGGACGATACCACTCTCAGAAGTGTTGCCCTACATCAATACATTGTTAGTTTATTTCACATTTATATCGATGATGGTTTTTACGATGTTATGCAATATTATCTGTTTTTATGTTTCACTTAGAAACAAGTTAACATATTCTTCTTCTAAATGAAAGAAACATGCAGTAAAAGATTGTTACAACATGTATTCAGTCCGCCAAGCGAATTATGATATGTTCTTTCATTGAAAAAATAAAACTTAACTAATTAATCCCGTAATATGCCCTTTCCTTCTTTAAAAAACGTACAGTCTTTCTGTTACTTCAAAAGCAGAATGAAATTAAGAAACAGAGAGATATGTGCACGAACATATTCCTTTCTTATGTTTTAGAAAAACCGAGAAGAAATTAAACTAGAAGGACGTTGAAAAATTTTAGAAAATCGTTCTAGATCTTCAATTTCTTTGAAAATATATTCCACTTTTGATTTTCGATTTGTCCACATACGAATTCGCCGGCGATTTTCAAGTTTAAAGAGTATCGTTGATTTTATGCAAAATTGGCGATGTTCTGAAAAATGCAAACCCGTTTTATGAAAAACATAAAATTCCTGAAAATCACATTTCTAAGAAAGTAGAAAATCACTGGTGAATTCATATATGGACAAATTGAAAATCGTTTTTTATTTTCTATAACTTATTTTCAAGTTTACAGTGCAGCTATCATGATGAAACTGTGATACTTTCAGTTCCAATAAACACGTGTACTCAGGTATTCGAAATACTATCATTCTAGAACTGTTCAGTTGATCAGTTCTAAGTTTGGTAATATCGATGAATTATCGAAACAAAACATATCCACTTATAGAGTATGACAAGCGGAAGTGGAGCAATGCTTCTGATAGAATCAGTCAAAACATTTTTAGAGTTTTTTTTTAGATAGATAAAAAATATAATAAAACATATTATGGTCGTCGTATTGTTGTTGCCCATCTAACATTCAATGTAAATGTTGGCATACATTTTATTTCTTTATTATTGTTGTTAGCGTCCATTATCACTGGTCCTTGACGTCGATGAATATTAATTTGGGACGTGAAAATAAAAGATCTCGGAAAATTAGCAGAATGGATCTCGGAAGGAAATNAAAATTTTCCGAGATCTTTTATGCAGAAATGCTTAATTGACATTTTTCCGAGATCTTTTCTGTCTTTATTTCCTTCCGAGATCCATTCTGCTAATTTTCCGAGATCTTTTCTGATTTTATCCATTAATTTGGATGTCGTCATGATCTAATATTCTTATATTTTTATAATTAATTGATTTTACTAATCTAAGATCATTTTCAATCGGTTGTAATGTTTTATATCTCCCACCAAACTATAATAAATATGTGAAAAGATAACTTTTTATGGAGGGATTTTAGTCACGTCAATCGAGACACATCTAAGAGCTCAAAATTCGGAGCACATTAGTTAAAGATTTGTTTTACAAAATATATAACAAGCAGTTTAGAGAAAATGCGAATTTTTAAAACCTCACAAAACAGAAATGGATCGATTTTTTGAAATGCTGATTTTGCGGACATTTTTCTTCATTCTCTTACCGGATAATCAAACTGTGCCAGTTTGATTTTAGTCTGCAGTGGCTTTTCGAAATCCTTTCTAACATCGTTTCTCTTTTTTTATATTCAAGGTTTCAGTATCTACTGATCAGAAAAAATATACTACAAGGAAATAAAAGCAAGAATACTGGAAGAGGATAATGGATAAATAAACACAAATTCTTCTTCTGTAGAATGTCATCAAACCTTAGTGAATCTCAAAACAAGCTGGCTGAATGATTTTGTTATAAAATGTAAATTTTTAAATGAATTATTCATTCTGTAGTGCGACTTCAGTCCCAAAAACCGAGCAAGAGAGCTATTCTTGAAAGTGAATAAATTTCGATAAAATAGTTTTTAAAAAACAAGAACCTTCTTTATTCGAAAGACCTACCCCTAATTGTTTTAAACGTTCAAATTCGATTGCTGTTAAAACAAACGGTGTTGTATTAATTAGGTATTGGTGTTGTATTAATTTTATTTGTATAATTAGTATTATGATTATGTAAATTTTTATAATAACCAGCTGTATATTGAGTTCGCCCAGATGAACGAATTGAAGTCCTAAATAATTAAATCACAAGAAAAAGTATTGAATTTCGGTCAGTGACAACTGCTTAAAGTAGAACAAACATTGGTGAATTTTGTGTAAGGAAAAGTTAATGAGCAAAACGGTTGCTACACTGTAATTTGGAATTAATTTCCAGTTTATAGAAAATCGACCTGGAAAATCGTAAAGCTTTTTCTGACTTTTATAAAATGCTCGTAGATTTTCTTGGTTTTTAGAAATTCGTGATTTTCTATAAATTGACTTTTCATTTTATTCAGAAAATCGGCATAGAATTACCAAAAATATTAAAATTTGGCCTCGATTTTCTATATACTGGAAATTCGAGTTTGATTTTCTAATATCTAATATTCTAGAAAATCGATCGATTTTCTAGAATTAATTCTCAAGATTCTTGAAATTCGAAATCGATTTCTGAAATGCAATGAGTCATTTCGTTCACCTTAACTTTGACAGCCGTACATATATGAAGTTTTCAATATCAGTTATCCGAATAATACGAAGATGACTCTTCAAACAGTCAATACTGTTGTATTTAAATCAAGAGATTTTATTTTGTCACTTGGTTCTCAGCTTTTTCTAGAATCAGTAAGTTTAGAGAAGTTAAAATATCTGTTAACTGAGCACGAGATAAGATTAGAGCAACATCTAAATAATAAACAAATGAACAGACACTGTTTGACCTTATCGTCTTTGTACCAATCAAAACACAAAACGCAAAACGGTTTAAATTTCTTCAGTGGAATTGGGTTCAGTGCTTTCCCAATTTAAAATAAGTGTCGATGATGGGCTTTTGGAATAGTAATGAACTATAGCTTTATAAAAAAGTGCAAATACCATCTTTATCCTCTGTGCTCAGACCTTGAAACAAGGAGTTGTATCGCAGAAGCTAGTTAATTTCTTTTGAGAGTACATTATTTCTCCATGAATAGAACCATAGAGTTATAGAGCAGTCATCGTCACTTTTTCCGAGAACCGCTTTTTCCGAAGTTATGTGTCACGCAAATTTTGTCTTTCTTTTTATTTATAGCATTTTCTAAGTAACTA